GAAGAGGTTTAAGAACATAGTTAAGTAAGAAGAGAGAGTTTAGAGGCGCGTAAAGGGATAGTTTAGTTAATTAAAAAGGGTAATAGAGGGAGGAAGAGTAGAACTATGTTACTGTAGAGTGTTTAGTACAGCCTAACGCATAGACAGAGGGGAGACTTAGCTAGTTAATAGAGGTAGACAAGCACTTATAAAGCAAGGTAGAGAATAAAGTAACTATACAGTGTTTAGTACAGCTTAAATTAAAAAGGTAAAAGAAACTTAGCTAATTAGAGTAAAAAAGTTAGAAATAATTAAAGAAAGTTTAACTAAAAAAAAGAGGCCTATATATACCCTAGCTTTTGCCTTAGTAGCAAGAGCACCTAACTAGACTAGAGTTTCTGCCTAGTAGTAAAAGTACATGTTACAAGATTATTTAGAAGAATATAAAAGGCGCTAGTGTTTAACTAGCATAAAAAATTATAACTTTTTAATTATTTTTTACTAATTATAACTAAAAATTACCTAATTTAGAGGTAAAAGTAGGTAAAAATAAGTAAGATATAACATATATAAGTAATTATAAGGCATTAGATTAATAATAAGCAGGCTAGGCAGCAGCAGTAAATAAAAAAAGGGGAGAGTCTTACTAGAGTAAATATATGTTGCATGTAATTAATTAATTAGTGTTGTAGAGTTAAACTATGTTAAACAGCAGGTAGTAAATATAAGTAAATAGTTTATAATAATTAAAACACGCAGTAATATAACATTACTATAATTAAGATAGCTCTAGCTTCTTTAATTTTTAACTATAGTCTTACTCTAACATAGTTAAGCCTTTATATAACTTTATCTACTGCTACTATGTCTTTAAATTATTTAAGTAAGATATAAGTATTTTTATAGACCTTTTAAAACTATTAAACTAATAAGCATTATTATAATTAAAGAACTTTTAGAAATAGTAAGCGCGTAAAACTGCAACAGTATGCTAGTAACTAGGTGATCTGTGGCTAGGAATTTGTCTTAATACATGCAATATGTAGATAGGCTGTGGGTTAGACAAGGGCGTACAAGCTAATACAAGGGGACTAGAGAGCAGTTATGTACCTAACACTGCGCAGTTGTTAAAACTAGTAAGCAACTAATAGCGCACAGTGTCTAATTAGCTGCACTAAGTGAACAGTGCTTTATAACGCTGTTATACATTACAAAAGTGCTTGCTGTAAGTATATATAAAATAAAAATATATAATTACTCTATTTATTTTTAAAGGCTTTGTTAAGACCCTTATTAAAATTACTATTAATTAGATTATTAACTAAACCCTTAGGGTTACTATAAGTTGTGCCCTTAACTATTTCTGCAAATTCTGTTACATTAATATAACACAACTCCTCTGCGCTAATGCTTGCTAGATTAGTTATATCTAGTGCTAGTATATAATTACTAGATATAACATTACTAACATTAAAGTCTATAACTTTTAACATTAACAACTTAATACTACTAGCAATAATATTAAAGCTTATAATAGGCTAAGAGAGCCCTTAGTTAATCTAACTAGTTAAGCGCTTACAGCGCCTACAACTTAGCAGATAAATAGTAAAGGCAAATGTCTCTAGCTTAATGTTGCGCTGCATATGCTTATTCTTACTCTTCTCCCTAAAGGCGCCCTTTATTAGCGCATAGAGTTGCATATAGAACTAGTAAAATAGTGTAAGACAACTAAAGGTAAAGTTTACATTATAAGTTCTATTTTTAAAGTGCTGTATGTTAAGCTTATACACGTAGTTTATAAGCTTAAGCATAATATTAACTACTTAAAAAGTGTTTAGCTTTCTGTGTACGTTAACTAACCTAGAGGCAAGTATAGACTGCTAAAGCGTTAGAGTTAACACCTTATCTAAGACTAACTAGCAGAGGTGTAGCAGCTTAGTACTATAGCGCTCCTAACTAGATCTAAAGAAGAATACAGCTAATAAATTAATTAAGTAATAAATAATTCTAATATTACTAAACTTAACTACATGCTATAAAGTAAGAAACATTTTAATCTTTTAAAAGAACTAACATGTTATTATTTAGTTACTTTTAAAATTATTATAGCTTTTTTATATAGTAAGTATAAAGACTTTCTTACATATCTGCTTAAGTAACTTAATGTACTAGTTAGGCAAGAGCTAACTAATAGCCTTATTATAGAGACCCTACTAGTATTGCTAGACATCCGCTGCATGGATATCTAGCACCTAGCCTTAGAGATATCTACTATTGCCTATCTCCTAGTAGAACAACGCAACTATTTAGGCGCTCTAGCTTAAATGTATTAGCAGCATAGCTATATAATACTTAACATTGCCCTAATTAATACTAGCACAGTTTAAGCGCATAATATTATGTAGAAGATTACTAGAAAAGTCTGTACCTTTAGGCGTATTAAAGTGCGTACAAATAATTATGTAAGTAAGTGCCTAAAGGATATAAAAATACACAGGCAGTCTAATTATCTAATCCCTCCTGTTGTATAGCTAGAACGCGCCGCGCTGCTCTTTCTTAAGACTGTGTATAAACTTAGCAGTTTTCTAGTTGCCCTATACTATCTACAGCTGCGTTTTAAAGCTTAGCTCTTTTAGATTTATAGAAATATTTAACTACTAAAGCTAAATATTATTATGCACTTTATAAGTCTTATTAATAACACCTTTATTAAAGAATATTGCTTCTAGATAATTTACCTAGCTAAGTTTTTTACATAGTAAGACTTTAACAGCTAGCATTAATAGTAACTAGTCCTCTAAGCTAACAAAGACCTTTAATACAGCAGCACTGTAGATAGCAGCTACAGCGCACAACATATGGCATAATGTAATTTACTTGCTTATATAGTCCTAAATTATGCTAGGCGCCATATAGATCTAATTAGGCTGCAATGCTATGCTAGGATTAAACATAGACTAGGTTAAACTGTCTTTAGAGATCTATAGACATCTTATAATAAGCGCTGTTGTTAGGTTCTACTAGATAGCTGTTGTAACGCCTACAGCGTAGTTATAAGTCTAGTTAGTAAAGTTATAATTATTATACATAATTATTAACTAAGGATTATGCGCAAGACCTAGTAGCCTAGCATTAGGTAAGACATAAGCTATATAATATAATATTATAACTTATAAGCTTTTTATATAGTCTGCTATTTTATTAACCTTCTAGTTTATAATTTTATATAAGTTATAAACACCTAAGCCTAACAACATCTTTACAACACGCTGTTTTATACTACTACTATGCAAATATAAACCTAGTAGGCAGGCAAGGTAGTTGCATCTCTTCTAGGCCTAGTAATGTAAGATAATAAAAGTAATTAGATACACCTTACTATTTTATAAACTCTTAGCTTTACTATAACTACTCTAAGCACTCTACTTATTCTGTAAAAGTCCCTTAATAAACCTGCTCTAATTTAGAGCCTAATTAGCTATAATTAACTCTAACCTAGTAAAATTAACCTTATCTAGCCTAGAGGCTATATTATACTAGTTAAAAAACTTTTGCTTAATAAAACTATTAAGTTTTTTTATAAACATAATAAAACTAGAGACACTAGTAGCCTTATTATCTTTACTTAATGCTACATAAATGTTTAGCTGTTTTAGTGCTAATTAAAGAATTATTCTATGTTTACTAGGTAGTAAAGCCTTTAATAATAGCAGGTTTTATAAATATAACTTAATAAATTTACTTATTAGCATCTATAGCTTATCTATTAATGCTAAGACCTACTCTAGTTTTCTTAATCTTAGGGTGTAAATAAGTGCAGATAACTAGACGCACTAAGTAAACACACCTGCTACTTATAAAGTTATAAAAAGATAAGTTGTTAGAACTAAAGCTTAAAGCTTAGTAGCAACTATAAACAAAGGTAAAGAAAACATAGAAGAAGGTAATAATAAAGGTAATAATAAAGAAGGTAGCAGCTTATCTGCTAGAGGAAGATAAAAGGGTTATAGACGCTAGCGCAGACGCAGGGTAGGACTAGTAGACTTATTGGCTATTTTGTACAGTAAACAACATGCAAAACGCGTAATAATTTAATAGATAATAGCAAGAAGTTATGTAGCTGTTAGCCTAAAGTTTAGAGATATTTAAAAAGAAAAAAAGATGTGTAAATATTAATACAATATATTCTTATATAAAAAGTAAGCACTAAAATTAGTTGTCTATATAATTAATTACTAAAGTCCCTTAGACAGCTGGGGAGAGAAGCTAAATCTAGCATCCTTATTGGCCAGAAAGATAGCGTGAGCGCCACCGGCGCGACTAGCATGGGTTTATGTTGACTAGCAAGGGTATCAGGGGCTCTGCCCCTGTCGGGGCTTCGCCCCTTCTCTCCCCAATCGGCTGAGCTAGCTGAGATAATGAGGGTTCTCAGTTGCCAAGCCGACCATTCCTCCATTAGCCTAGCGCCCTTTTCTCCTGGCTATCCTTTATTAGGCCTCTCTGATTATGTGTGAGAGACAGACTACCTAAGCCCACGCGTCCTGGCGCCTGCCGCTCTCCTTTAACGTCGATTTCCAGGTTCTCGGCGGTCGCTTACATCAAGAAGATTCCCCGTCGTCGGATTCGCATGAGTTTCCGTCAACGTGAAACGGCCTGGCGATTGCCGAACGTTTCAACCCAGGTCCTCGGCGCTTCGCACAAATGAAAGATATCGCTTGGAGTACTACTAGCAGCTAGACGACTCCCACGATGCGGCAACTTGCGGGACGAGAGATGCATCCTAATGCCCCCTTCACCTTATCCGCCAGCCCTCAACACTCGTTCGGTACCTCGGGCAGTCTTCAATTGGTGGGTTAATATGATCGAACGACTGCAAAGGGAAACATGCATGACACAACATCCATGATGTTTCCAATCCTTCATCGCCAATTTGCGCTCGAAGACGGCGAACCGATGTTTCGAGGCGGCATTCCCGTTTCAAACGTTTAATTGCTATGGCCTACAGCGTGATCTGAGAAACGATGGCGAGATTGTGTAAGACATGATATATCTTGGCTCTTTCTCACTCCCCAACTTCCTTTCACTAGGCTTCGTTTCTTCGTCGGTACTGCTTGGGTCTGTGACCATACATTCGTTGTACACGTTCGCTCTCTTCAATTCAATTCAATTCAATCTTTGTTTAAGTGCTAGATCACTGTTTCATCCTTGCCTGCGTCCAATCTCAGACTCTCCAGACCTTCCTCGGCTATCATGAAGTCCACCTACCCCGCCGCATTAGGGCTTGCTGGCCTCTTCTCAACCGTCTGCGGTCACGGTTTCGTTACCTCTCCACAAGCCCGTATGCCCGGAGACGCTATGGCCGCTGCCTGTGGGGCACAAGTTGCTAGCAACCAGGAGTCAGACAATTATGGCAACATCCAGGGCGAGCTTCAAGTTGCCAACGGGCAGTCAGACTATAACGCGGCAGCTTGTGACATTTGGCTTTGCAAGGGGTACAAGCTCGACGACAATAAGGCTAGTGTCCAATCCTTCACTGCCGGCCAAGTTGTCCCAATTACCGTTGATATTCGCGCTCCCCACACTGGAACTGCGAATGTTTCTATTGTCAAAACCAGCGATCACTCTCTCATCGGCGCCCCTCTCATCAGTTGGGACGTGTACGCTTCGAACGCCGTTACCATCCCAGATGATCAAAAGAACTTTGATATCACCATTCCCAGCGATCTTGGTAGCCAGTGTGCTACCGCCGGCGACTGTGTGATTCAGTGGTACTGGGACGCCCGCTCCATTGACCAGACCTATGAGTCTTGTATTGACTTCACCGTTGGTGGGTCTGGCGCCGGCAACTCTGCTTCTCCTTCCCAGCCTGTCTCATCGACTGCTCCAGCTTCTTCGGCACCTGCGACCTCAGCACCTGCATCATCATCGGCTGCCGCATCTCCCTCCGTCGGCTCTTCCAAAACCAATATTCCTACGTCCTCGGCCTCTGCAGCTCAAAACATCCAGACATCCAGCGCCGCCACCACACCCACATCTGCCGTTGTTGCCTCTCCATCAATCAGCTTGATCCCAACTTCCATCATTCCATCCGAGATTCTAACCTCAGTCCTCCCTACAGCCCTCCCAACTGGCACAGGCATTCCCGCTGGGCTCAAGCCATTACCAGCTGGAACTACCCTCCAAGACATCATGGACTGGATCAACTATATCTTGTCGACTTTTAACAAGAGCACATCCAGGAAGCATGCTCGTGATATTTTGAAAGTCTGAAAGATAGGTTCGAGGGCCCAGATTTAACCGTTTTATTTTTAAACTCTAGGTTGCTAGTATGAAACTAGTGCTTGAGGTTATATTTGCTTCACTTGTAGATATAGATGTTTGTTCAATATATATGTTCCGATTAACTCTATTCACTATTTTGTTTCCTATTCAATTGCCTACAGTCCCTATTTATGTCAGTGGACTAAGGGTAGGAAAAGTCTTTCCCCATTCCGTCTGTTAGCCTGCTGCTTGCTTGAGCAACAAAAACCCAGGTAATAGATCGTCTAAAATGTAACGCAACACTGCAATCTCTAGTGCCATGGAGACATTAATGCTAACATGTAGGGGTCGAGCAGTATCAACTTCTAGCCGCTTTTAAGGTAGTATCTAAACATTGCAAGGAGAGTTTCAACTGCTGAAGTCACTCTTCACTTTGCTAGACGCAGCGGGAAGAATCCCGTTTACTACGCTAAGTTGTTAATCAAGGCTCGGACAGCTGGTTACTCGATCCAATTCCCTCCCTACACGCTGCATTCAGCGTTATTCAAATACTGTCTTGTAGTCAATCTACTTGCAGGGTTATTTTCTAAAGTTTACTTGAGGCATTGAGCTCTCTTCTAAGCATGCTCCAGGGACAGCAGGCAGGACCTTAATAACTTGTGTGTGTAATCCAAATGACATATTGCATTCGAAATGCGTACTAGCTAACGTTGTCATTTTGTCTTCGTTTAAATCTCTCAGTTTCCTCCGGGACGTAGCAGGCAGGAACTCAACTGCCTGCTACTTGTTCAGCAAGAGTCTTATGTCCTTTAATTCTAGTCTAATTGATTCCCTTTACAAGGCTTACAGTATTATTGGAGTAGCAGAGGGCAGTGTAAAGACCTCCGGCAGTTTCTTAGCTATTGTAAACACAGCAGGCATGATCTTGACAGCTATTCCTCTTGATAGGGCAAGGATCTAACTATTCCCGTTCGAACCCGATAAATCTCATTTGTGCGACGTGTGATATTATTAAAATATTAGGTTGCAATGCCGGCACCTGCTTAAGCAGTGTATCAGTGACTCCGGAACACATGACGATAGGTCCCAAATTTGTACTGCCTCTCCCTAGCAAGAATCTTGTCGTAACTCTATTGTTTCCATAACCCCTTTGTAGGTCACGGGCAGCAATTTTAGAAAGGTATAGGTTAGTTTGGGTGCCCGCCGGTTGAAACCACGTGAGCTAAATCTTTCACTCCTTTGCCGCGAAACGCGTCTTGGCGCCACATAGATTAATCACTAGCTCGATGCGCTAGCGTTTGCAGGACCTTATATTTTGATCGCCCAAAATCTCGCCTTCTTCAAATAACCTATTCTCAACACCTCAGTCTGCTGCTGTCGCTGCTCCTACTGCTGACTCTCTTTCTCTCTCTTTCTCTCTCTCTCTATATATCTGTCTACCTGACTATTTTCTGGCAGACATGGACCATTTCGAAATCCTGCCGCCCAATTACGGCGGTACGACGGATGTTGCCGGCCCGGCAATGGCAATGGGCTCGATCGCTGTTTTGGGAATCGTTCTCCTCTGGACGACCTTGGGTGGCACCAGGTTGCCCGTGGAACTCCCCACGGTTCCACAATTCTGGCCACCGCCGTCGCCGTCTCGTCACCCCTCCCCCCACACGCTTCTCTGGGGCATCAACGTCTCGGCCGACACCTGCCCTCTGCCAACGTTCGGTGACCTCGTCGAGAAGGTCGAGTACCGCTCCCTCCCTGCCGTCTCCACCCCCACCTCTACCGCCGACCTCCCCTACGACACTGCCTCTACCTTTGCATTCCTCGTCCCAGCCCTCTCCATTCTCGCCTGGTCTCTCCTACTCCTCGGCCTCTGTGCCTGGCACTTCGATGCTTTTGGCGACGGCAAAGACGACGATGACGACGACAACGACAACGACAACGAAACTTCGACTCATGACCTCCTCGAGCGCGCATGGGCGGGCCTAGAGCGCCTAGACTTCGAGATGAGCATCCGGGTGGGCGTCGAGAATACACTTCGCCAGCAGATCCAACAGATACAGGATGACGAGAAAGCGCGCCGAATAGCCGCAGTGGCCGCCCTCCCCCCGTTCTTGACGACGAACCAGGCCGCTTCCAACGCCTACTGCTCTCGCATCGCAACTCTCGCCGACGACGATCTCGAAGGCCGGTACCTAGCGCGCTTTGCCGCCCAGGAGCAAGTCATTCAGCACCTCAGCCGGCATTGCTTCGGGCCTGCTCCTCCTCCTAACCCTTATTTTTCCGGCAGGTATTGAGAGGCTCTTGGTCCCCTAGGGCACCCTGGTTCTGGGTTGTACACATCCTGCAATATCTAGCAGTCTTTTGTATGATAATCTAAAACTCGAGGGCAGTAGATAGGTTGTTTTCCTCTTTCGGCGTTCTAATTTATCTTCTGCTTTCTGTTTTCTTTTTCTCTTCTTCTGTCTTGGTTTTGTGTTCTGATTTCTATTGTGATTCTCTGTCCGTTTCTTGCCCCGTTTTAGTTTCTTGATATCCATGCACCTCATTTTGGCGTTCCGTTTGCTGCTTCCTGTCTTTCCCCACATTCCTGTAGTCACGCAACTTCGATCTAGACTTGGGACTCAGGCAAGTGGTACTTTCCATAGTAACTTTGATTGATCCCCCGCTGGTGGGGTGAGATTTTCCTGGTGAACGGACTGGACTGTAGCTTAGGATCTTGGCTCTGGATAGTCGTTGCTTGGCATAGTGTTGTCCTGTTTCTGCTTTCTTCGCAACCGTTTAGCTTCGCGGCTCTGATCCGGACTCTGGCTTCTTGCTGCTTCCCATGCCTTATTAGCTATGACTTGACCTCCCTACTCGCGGGAGAAGCTGTTATGGTGAAGAGGGAGGGTCTGCTTGGCTTGGGGGTTGAGTTCTGGATTGTTTTTGCGAGGCGTGGTGTTGTATATATCTACATGCGTTTGGGCGTCTCGTTCCTGCAGGTAGATAGCTCTTCATGAAGCCCCGAGTCTGCCCTTCTCTGGCCATTATTTCACCTGACTTGATGATAGTCTGTAATGTCTCTCTGCTTCGTGACGTAGATTGGAACGCCTTGTTCTCGGCCCCTCAGTTTTAGTTTCGATCATGTATCCCTTGTGGGTGTGCACCTACTCTAGCTCAGTTCATAGAACAGAATAAGCCACTTCAGCTTCTTGCTATTTGTGGTCAACAAAAGAGGCTCGCCCTGTAGCAAGTCACTTCCGCTGTTCCTTGATTCCATAGATTGCCATGCCGTTCCTCCTCGCCTTGCGCAGGGCGGCACAAGTTCGTTTCGATCACATAATCGTTCTAGGTGCGCCCATAGTCTAGCTTTATTCGTAGATCGGAAAATCTCCATTAAGATTCTGGCTAGCTGCAATCATCGATTGTGCTCGTCCTGTGGCATGTCAATTCCTGGTCTCTAGGCGTGATGAGATGTGCAAACGTTCGCCCCCATGAACATCTTATGCCCACCCTCTCTTCCGCTTGAAAGCTAAGCTTGAAAAGCGGCGCCAAGTCACCGATGCATTTTAAATCGCTGTAATTGTTTTGTAGAACAGTTACAAATCCTCTGGAATCTTTCCAATCATGAGGTGGAGATCCAACAGCATCTCATTCCTGCCACGGATTGCTAGCATCTAATCAAGCGAAAGCTACAACATGGCTCCGTCCTTGTTTCCCTTCTTCTAACCTAACAGAGGAGATTTAGCTTGTGAATACCTTTGCAGTATGTGGGGCACATTCCCAGAACTGGCGCAGCTGTATTCTGTTCCGGCTAGCTAGAAAGCAGAAGTCTAGTAACGTCTCTCCCTGCGTAGCGAGACACCCTCTGTGGCGAGACAAATAAGGGGTACTTTAACGTCAAGCTTCTAAGTTTCTATAGACGCGTTAGTTTCAGCAATAGTTTACTATATGTCCTGTATTCTGGGTATTTCTGAATATCTGGAATCCCTCCGACCTAAGAATTACGTTTGCATTGTCGCCTTTACGTCTAATCTGCAAAAACCCTGTGAGAGGTATCAAACAGGAAGCACAAGGCACAGAGAAGGAATGCAGGATAGGGGTAGAAAGAGAGAAAGACTAAACCTTAGGGTTAGAGGCAAAGGTACAAATACTAAGAAGCCTATATACCTTGTAGTAAGCCGTTAGATTACTTAGGGGTTAGATAGCTGGAACATAACTGTAGCATAGCTTTCTTTTTTCTTTGAGCTTATTCTAAGACCTAGAAAAGAATAGGTAGAGCTGAATTTTATATATTAAAGTAGTATAACCCGCCTTATTAACAACTCTATAGAAAAAACAGTACGTAGTTAGCTATAAAGCTGTTACAATCCTTGCTTCGGGAAGCACTCGGGTCTGGTGATATTCCTAGGGGGGAAGTAGGGCGGATAGTAGGGGCCAATCCGGTAGGGTGTACAGTCCTACGTACAGGCTATTGGGCTAATAGAGAATGGTTTAGAGCAACTAGATTATAGTTTGCCCTATGTGCAGCAGTAGGGGGGCTAGGGTCAAACAGTCCTAACAGACAGGGTTAGAGGTATATATAGTGCAAGATATACAAATAGTATTACAGCTCTTTAGAAAGCTAAATGCTACTTAGTCTATATAAAGAATAAACTAAACATTAAACACACCTTCTAAAAGTTATTTAAAGTAGAAACTATATACATGTGCTAGAGTGCTAAGGGGAGTTAGTAGGAGCTTAGGGGAGCCTGCTAAGAGGGGCTCCTATAAGCTCCCTCTAGCTTCTTAGACTTGCAGCCTGTCCCCTTATTAAATAACGCATTCTTCTATAATCTTAGGTAATTATGCTGCCTCTGTGTCCTCTAATTAGTCTGTAAGCAAGCCTTGCCCCAACTCAGCTAGACTGTGGAGCACTGCGGGTGGAGTTACGCTAGTCCAACTGTAGACTGTAACACGCTGCCCCTCCTCCCTAGCAGCGTCCTCGCCGCTCTGCTCACACAACTGTGTTAGTAAGGGTTTGTTTATAAGGTAGGCGCCTACCTGCTAGAAGGCGTTATTAATATCTAACTTCTTTATACTAAATAGCTTAGTAGTCCTGCTTATTTTATTATCTTTATGTTACTTTTTATTTTAATCCTTTTTACTAGACAAAGATAAGGCCCTACAGCGCTTACTAATCTTCTAGGTTGTCTTATGTGTTAACCTTATTCTTAGACAAATATGTTAAGTGTGTAAAAAAGCATAGTAAGTGTAACACCTTTGTTTCTAACGCTACTTAGGATTGTCTAGAGATGTCAGATATGCGCACCTACTGTCAAGACAGGAGGAACGTTTGACGAAAGCTGCTACATAGTACGAGCAATAAGCTCGAATAGTATGTTGCTGCAAATTGCAGCATTTTGCAGCATTTTGCAGCATGTTGCAGCAAATTGCAGCATTTTGCAGCAAATTGCAGCATGTTGCAAGCTGGTCGCGCATAGGGCTAGTGCGCGAGGGACTCGGATCGGCAGAACAAAAAGCCGAGCAACACGAGTAGAGCAGAAAAAGGATCGATAAATGAACACAATCAATACAATCAATCAATCATCCATACATCACATCCAAACCCATCATTCATCTAAGGAAGCCCAGAAACAGTGCTTCAATCTGACAAGAGAAGGAGAGAGAGACACTTCTTTAGAAGGTTAAGGCCTTATAGGCTTAGGACTACATATTGCAGGACAAGCAGTAGGCTTAGGTCTAGAAGCAACTTTGCTTGCAAGAGGAGATGTTAAGGGTAATAAATAAGAAGCGTTTTAGACAAAATTATATCTAAAAGTTATTAGACCTGCTAGAGGCTTGTTATGTAAAGTACCTAGAAAAGGACCTTTTTTCTCTAGACAAGATAAAAGCTCTTAAGGCTAAGGTAAAGGGCTATTTCCTTTTTTAACCTTTATTAGCTAGAACTTGTCTCTAAAGGCTGCTACTATCTAGTAATAATATAGCTATTTCTTTTAATATAGGTGCCTTATTACCTAGCTAGTTTCTTTTAGACAAGCTTAAAGGTACTCTTGTACTAACAGCTACGCATTCCTTAAATTCTTAGCTAGTTTCTATGTATTTTTACTAGTAAGCTACTTTTTTTATTTTACTAAGAATTCTTTTTAGTTTTTTTAGTTACTTATAATATATTTAATTTTATATTCTGTTTCCTTATCTTTTTATTCTTATATAGATAAAGGGATCTGTTTAAGTGCCTTTTTTAGTTTAAAAATATAGAACTATAGGTAAATCTTTATGTATAGGGGAAGCTTAAGCTTATAATTATCTTATTAAGTTTATAAAACTTTATAAGGTTCTATTCTTTTTTCTACTAGCTTTTTAAAGGGTCTTAGTATTTTAAGATTTTTTATATTAAAGTACACATAGTCTTCTAGGTAGATTTCTAGTTCTAGCTGTTATAATTTATTTACATATTTCTCTATTACTTCTTTACTAGATCTAGCTTCTACAGCTAACTTTTTATGTATTTAGCGTAGGTTCTTTAGCTAATCTATTAACTCCTATAAGTCTATAGGCTAGTTCCTATGTAACACAAAGTAAGGGTTATAGCTAAAATTAGCTTTATATAGTGTCTCTTTTATTATAGCTAATTCTATGTTATTAATAGCTAGCTATGCTATTAGAAGCTATACTGCCTAATTATTCTAAGTGTAGGAAATGTACTTCTTTAGGTATTTTTTTACTTCTGCATTTACTCTTTTAGTCTAGCTGTCTGTCTGCAGGTAGTAGGCAATTAACAGCTTATGTGTTATACTAAGGTGCTTTATTACTGCTTTTTAGAAGCTGCTAGTAAACAGTTTATCTTAGTTAAAGATAATAATTTTAAGGCATTTATATACTAATATTATGTTTTATTTTAATTTATAAATAAATTCTTTAGTAGTTATTATTTTTTCTAAGGGCTAAGTGTGTAGATACTTAGTAGTTTTATCTAAAGCTACTGTAATTATATTACACATCCTGTCTGTTTCTAGTTCCTTAGACAAGAGTAATTTTATAATAAAATTTATTATAATTATTATTTATAGTAATCTTAGTGCTTTAATTAGCTAAAGGTATCTGTATAATCTGTGCCTCTATAGGTTGTTTTTGTTACAGGTATTACATTCTCTAAGAACCTCTGTGCATAGTTGCTTTACCTTAGGTATTTATTATAGTATAGCAGCCCTTAGCTTTTTCTAGAGAGTGCCTATCCCTAAATATCTAAATATTAGAGATTTATAATATTCTTAGATTAGGTTCTTCTACCCTTACTTACTAGTAGTAAGCA